GCAATCGAGGAGCATAGTAAAGTAAAGGATTGGCGCTGGGTACCTACCAAATTGAACATAGCTGACATTGCCACGAGGGAAGTACAACCGAACTTCGACTCCAATCACGAGTGGTACAACGGCCCATCATTTCTGTATAAAGAACCGTCAGCATGGCCAACCGAAAGACCCACGTCATCCGAACCTTCAGGCGAGGAAAGATCCCTCACCATTAAGGAATCGCATCAAGCTCCGATACTCCGAGAAGCTGTTCCCGATCCAGCAAGGTTTTCGAGATGGGAACGCTTATTGCGAGCTACGGCTAGAGTGCTACAATTTATAACACTCTGCCGCAAAACTACAGACAGGACCTTCTATAAAATAACCAAAAGGGACAAAGAGGAAGACCCCTACTGGAGGAAATCGAAAAATAATCCGCGACAAATCGCGCAGCCTCCCAGTCAAGTGAAAAATATAGATGTCAAAAGGTACATCACACTAGAGGCCGAATTCATCAGAGAGGCCGAAAAGCTCCTGATACGTGCCATACAAGAGGGCTCCTTCTCACAAGAGATAACCGATCTCCGTAATAATAAAAAGGTCGCTCATGATAGCCGCCTACGACCGCTCCAAATAGAATTGAAAGACGGGATCATCGCGCTACGAAGTCGCATAACCGCCGTGAAGGGAGTCACAGAAGATATGAAGGGGCCAGCTATATTGGATGGTGATCATTAAATCACGCAATTATACATTGACTGGACGCATCGTAGTCTGCATCATTGCGGAACCGAACCTACCATAAACGAGGTTCGACAGCACTACTGGGTGATACGACTTCGACCCACCACGAAAAAGATAGTGAGCTAATACATACAGTGTCGCAACAGAAAAGCACAACCATCAGTGCCAGCGACCGGTGACCATCCCAGTACATGTCTCGCTCATCACCAGAGACCGTTCACCTTCACCGGTCTGGACTATTTTGGACCACTTTCCGTCACTGTGGGACGTCAACATCAGAAGAGATACGTAGCTCTCTTAACCTGCCTCACATCTAGAGCTGTCCACTTAAAAGTTGTCGCAAACCTCAGCGCTGACTCCGCAATACTGTCATTAAAAGAAGATTCGCAGCTCTTCGAGGGTGCCCCACCGAGATTTACTCCGACAATGGCACCAACATGCACGGCGCAGACAAGGAACTTCGGGAGGCTTTTCGAGAAGAAGCCAGTCGACGAGGCATAGTGTGGCGTTTTATAACCCCCTCCGCGCCATTCATGGGAGGAGTGTGGGAACGTCTCATACGGTGGGTGAAGACGGCACTATACACCGTCCTTCATGAGAGACATACGCATGAGGAAGTATTAGCCACGCTGCTCTGCGAGGTGGAGTACACAGTAAATAGCAGACCATTGACCACATCTCTGTAGACAGCGACGACGACGAATCCATCACTCCAAATCACTTCCTTTTAGGAGGATCTGCGAGACTACCGACACCTGGAGTATTTGATGAAAAGGATATGAATAGCAAAAGACACTGGCGACGCTCCCAGATACTCGCTGACATGTTCTGGCAGCGTTGGGTCCGAGAGTATCTACCGGAACTTCAAAACCGGCGGGAGGTCCATGGGCGAGGTCACAATCTCCAGGTGGGCAATCCAGTCCTCATGCCGCTGAAAACTCGTGCCGCTGCCGAAGTAGAAGCAACGTCGCTCACCGAAATGGATGCAGCGCGGCTGTGAGAAAATGGTTGCGACGCTGCACGGCGGGAGAGATGTTCGCGACGGCCTAACAACGCTAAGAAACAAAGTGATAAAGAATATTGTTTTTTGTATTAATAGTGAAATTACCGATAAAACTGGCTGAAAACGTGTATTAATATAGTTGTTTAGCATGTTTATAACTCTTAGTATATTTGTATAGAATGTCGTTTTGATAACAAGTAATGTAAACAACTTTTATTATATTAAGAAAAATCGACCAATTACAGCGCGTCTTATCGTAGAACTCTCTAGAAGTTTTTTAATTAACTGCGTAATAGTTCATACCAAAAATAATGAAAATAATTTTATGTTCCAAAAGAGTTGTAAATATGATATTGAATTAGCATATGGCTTATAGATTAAGGAAGTGTAGGAATATTTTGTATAATTAAACGCATTTCGTAGTTATAGAAAAATCAAAGAATTAATGTACCCAAATATTATGAAAATTTGGGACATTTCGTTTAATAACTTTTTAAAATTGTAATGTTTTGAGGAACCTTTATGATATACTAATAAAGTACCAGACTACCGATTTGATGATGTATAGCATGTTAGTGTAGCAATTAGTTTTGTATAGAAAATATTGTAATTTATGCCATTTGCATAGTGAAAAGTTTATGCAATAAAGAGGCAAAACGGAAAATGGCAAGCGGTTCACTGTAAAGTATTACTAAAGTCTACCTTAGGGGCTCGTGACCCAGTAGCAGTAGTAGTGTGAAGAACTACCAGTGACAAGTGAAGTGAAGTGAAGTGAGTGGTATCCGGTTGTAGCTGAAGTGACTAGTAGCAGTATATAGTGAATAGTAGAGATGAGACATACTTGCAAAATTTAATACCAGGGCTTTTAAGTACGAGTATGGAGAAATACCAGGGTCGAAAACCAGGTTCTAAAAATACGAGTACTTAAAAGTATTTGTTGACGCGATCGACGTGTCCAGCCGCGGTGTCAAAATTTGAAAATACTTGCATACGAATTCGACCCATATTGCATGTTATCCTATTATGAATACGGAGCAAAGTCGTATAAATAAAAAAAAATACTTTGAAGTTCAAAGTATTTTTTATTCACAAATACGATTGAGTTTCTTATTTCTATTAAGATATGGATTATTTTCCTATGCAAGTATTTTCACGTATAGTGTTCAAGTTGTTCGAGCATCTGTCTTACAACATGTACTTTCATACTTGCAAGTATTTTTTGCTCGCGCCGTATTGTTAATGTCAATATAATAATATGAATGACTAGTTCGAGTCGGGCCACATTACGAGTATTATGATTGAACGTTTTTTAATTTTTTGTTAACGAAATGAAATCTTTCCTTCCTACTTTTTAAATCACAGGCTTAGGACGGTCTGCTAAATAATATTTAAGAATATTTTATATTCTGTGGTTTTAGAGTATTTTGACATGAGCTAGAATACAAACTTGTATTAGTAGGCGTAGTTAAAAGATTTCATTTTATATACATACATGATTTTGTATTTTTTTTTGTTATTTTTTATATTTTCTTTATATATTTTTTATTTTTTGTTAATATTTTGATTTATTTTTTATTTTGTTGTAGAAACAATAACTGTTTCTCTCTGTTAGTATGTTCCCTGCTACGGAAAACAACCGTTCACAAGGCACGCTAGAGGCCATTGTGTTTAATTTTATTTTGGCTAGTTTAGCTAAATTTGGATAAATTGTCTGATTTATTCGCCATCACTCCAAAGGATCCATATCTGAAGACAAAACTGTGTCATCTAGATATTTTTGGGTTTCAATGATTGCCCTGCTATTGGCGGTTCCAGCTGGTCGTACATTTTGCATTTGCTTGTTGTAGTGCTTCCATAACAGACTGTTAGATTTTTGTCCCTGGTTATCTGGCTCATCAGAAGTTGAAGCAGTTTTTACGTGGTAGAGCCATGCTGCAGTTATATTAGTAGTATAGTTGTAGCACGAATGGGTCGGCTCGACCGGGGAAGGACCACGCTCTCACAGAATACCAGCGTGAAATAGTAGCTTAATGCTGCTGTATTTCGTATGGTGAGTGTAGAGAACCGGATACCCTTTTTACTGGAAACGAGGCATTCCATCTCAGTCCTCACGGGTGACAACGCATCTGCATTTTGATTTTTAATGGAGGATAGATGTAGATGTCTATGGGCCGCAGCAACTACTTACCATCAGGTGGACTGTGTGCTCGTTTATCACCCTATTCTATAAAAAAAATGCTGAAGACTGACATCTTTCATTTTCATTAATCATAGTGGTTACTAGGCCTATGATATGCTTTTTCGTATTGTCCGCAACGTTTCCACTCTCAAAGTATAACTTATACCTCGGGTCTAAAAACATAGCAAAAGTGTAGGTTTGACTCTGTTCCAAATTAGAAAATCGCGTGCTTATTTCTGAGAGGAGATCCTGTCGGCACATTTCAACTTTATCAGGGAAAACGTCAATGTTATTTTCTTGCCGATATGTCAGACTGGCGATCTCGTTGAGAGCGCTGGTGAGACAAATTGTTAACGGAATGACTGAGCTTCCACTTACATATCTTTGGCCGCTCATTTCTCTCGTCACTTCTTCACACGGTTGCAACACTATGACCAACGACTGACATACAGTCCCTGGCCAAATTATTGGACGCACTGTATTTTTTTAGTAATTTTATGTTTCTTAAGAGTTTTTATGCAATAATGGTATATTTAAACTACAATATTATTGATTTTTATTTAAAAGAATTGTTGTAGACTACATATTTGTATTTATTTTTAACATATGGCAACACTGTGTTGACAAAGTGATACATGAACGTAAACAAGTACAAATCTGTATCAGTCGCGATCGGAATCGAATCAGGTACGAACGTGTTTTTGTGGCTTTATGGACAGTGATTGTTTGTTTAACAGTTTTATACTACTCAGTTATTAGTTTATTTTGTATGCAGTGTTTTAAAAAAGTAATTGGATTATTTTCATTATGGGTAGAAAATGCGATCTTTCACCACGTAAAAAAGCTGAAGTGAAGGCCCTTGTGATTGCGAAAACATTTACAAACCGAGAAATATCACGAAGATTGAAGGTTTCTGAATGTAGTGTACGACGCATAAAAAAAGAAAATTGAGTCAGGGGGAGGAATTAAGCCCGAAAAAGAAAGAAAAGATGCGGTAGAAAACCAATTTTCACTCCACGGTCAGAGAGATGTTTGAAGAAAATTTGTCTACAAAACAGATTTGCTACCACAAAGGTAATAAAATCACAACTCCAGGATGCTAGCGTAAATGCTTCTGAGCGCACTGTTCGAAGAAAATTGAAAGAATTAGATTTCAAGGCTTGTCGCCCCGCCAGGAAGCCCAAGTTAACAGCTGCAATGAAAGCAAAGCGCCTGAAGTGGGCCAAACAATGGCAAGACAAAGATGTGGACTTCTGGAGATCGGTAAGATACAGCAATTTAATCAAAAATTGATACATTGTTATCATTTTCAGTTAAATAAAGCAAATAAACATGGAAGTTTATATATTTTTTCCTATTTTTGACAGGTCTGCTTCAGTGACGAAAGCACATTCGAAATTTTACAAAATAAAGCTCAGTATGTGCGTCGTCGTCATGGAGAAAAGTTTCATCCTGATTGTGTCGTCCCGACGGTTAAATATCCCACCAAAGTGATGATTTGGTCAGCCATCAGCGGCAAGGGCACTGGACGTCTGTACGTCGTCAAAGGAATAATGAGGCAAGATCAGTATAAAGAAGTACTGGAAAATCGGTTGATTCCGCAGCTCAGAGAATGGTTTCCAAATGGGGAACCATTCACTTTCATGCAAGATGGAGCTCCCTGCCACACTGCTCGGTCTGTTAAAGCTTTTTTTGGCAGAAAAAAATATCCCTCTGTTGGATTGGCCCGGTAATAGCCCTGATATGAACCCCATTGAAAATGTGTGGGAGCTGATGAAAAGAGAAGTGGCTAAAGATGTGATTACCAACAAAACCCAGCTCCTAGAAAAGATTATTTATGTGTGGAATCATCATCCTCAAATGCAGGAGACAGTACAGTCTTGCATTGATAGCATGCCGCGCAGAATTAAAGCTTTGATAGCGGCTAAAGGTGGCTCAACTAAATATTGACTTTTACTAGCATTAATTTCACTTTTCTTTAAAATTTAATAAACTTACTCTTTTCTAAATTAATGCTGTTTTATTTATGTCAAATAAATAGGTAATTGATTGGATAATATAAAAATAAAAAACAAATCAATTTAAAATAATAAAACGGTACAATATCACTCGGTAATCAATATTTTACATGAAATCTTGCAGTGCGTCTAATAATTTGGCCAGGGACTGTATATTCCATTCATAACTGGTCAACATAATTAAATTACCTGTGTCTAGATTACTGAGTGCACATTTAATTTCGTTCCACGAACCTGTAACGTGTAGAATGTGGAGTTCCACCTTGTAACAACATCTTGGATTGGCCTCTTTACGACTTTATTAGCCTGTTCTTGACATTTTTTTCAATTTATTCTATGCTAAATTACTTCGTTTGAAATAGGAAACTATAGCCTTCACTTTACTAATTAAATCGCTTATGTAAGAACTTCCTAATACTTTTTGGACTGCCAGGTTAAGCGTATGCGCATAACAGCCAAAATGTTTCCACTCTAATTGAGCTATAGCACTTTTGATGTTGGCACCGTTATCTGATACTGCAAGGGGACTTTGTTAAGAATATTCCACTCTTGAGCGACATTTCTTAACTCTTCGGCTAAATTTAGCCCTGTGTGACGACTCTCTAACACTTTACATTCAAGGAGCACTGATTGCAAACTATAATTTTTATCATCAATATAGTGACCCGTAACCGCTAAATACGAGTCATTATTTCTTGACGTCCACATATCAGTCGTTAAGCATATACTTTTTGCATCTAAACTTAGAGCTGCTTTAGTATTAGTTTTAACCTCCTCATACCACCCCGGCAATAAATAATTGGCGAAATATTTTCGCGATGGTATAATATAATTTGGGAAATCAAACTTTATTAATTCGCGAAACCCCTTGTCTTCCACTATAGAAAATGGCTGCAAGTCCCATATAAACAAATTCATCAAATGATCATCAATTTGCATTTTTATTTTTTGACAATCGCGTCGAAGGAACGCCGAGATAGTGGGCATAGTGGCTGTATTGAACCTTATCGTATTAGGTGGTGCGTCAGTTGGCAGTGGAGTATTGGAAATTGTAAATTGTGTACTTTGTAAAGCATGCGCCGGTACCTCTTGTTCCCTTCTCATTAAATTAACAGAAATATGTTTTCTCTGTACATGTTTGGTAAGGTTTGATACTCCAGATTTGTACGATATAATTACTTTACACATCTTGCATTCGGCTTTATTTTCTCCTTTGTCCAAAAAAAGATCCCACGCCAAACTTTTCTTAGGAGCCATACTTATGGATTTGTATGTACGAAGATCTATTTACTATTCACAACAAGAACCTACATATGATCTATACACAAAAAACACTATTTACACACTATTATTTACAGTTTAAACATCGTCATTTCCAACTAATAAACACAATAATATTCAGTTTTATTTATTTACGCACTTAAACATTAATTAATAAAACTTTAAAAATTGTCTCTAAATTCAATAAACACGCAAAATAACTTTAAAAATTAGGTCACGGTCAGTAGGTTACGTACTCAGTTCATAATATTTATTATTTATTATTATTACAGGGAGGACGACTCACTGACCCACACCGCAAAGGAGAAAACCGATCTTCTAGGCTCTTTCTTTGCGTCTAACTCGACTCTCGATGACGGGGGGAGTACGCCGCCGACCATCCCGCGTTGTGAGTGCTCCATGCCGGAAGTGCAGTTCACTCAGCGCTCGGTTCGCAAAGCACTCCTCTCCCTGGACATCTATAAGTCGAGTGGGCCTGATGGAATCCCCCCAATTGTGCTGAGGACGTGTGCTCCAGAGTTGGCACCGGTTTTAACGCGTCTTTTCCGGTACTCCTACTCCCTAGGCGTAGTCCCAAAATCATAGAAGACGGCTTTCGTCCACCCGATCCCTAAAAAAGGCGACCGCTCAGACCCGTCCAACTACCGGCCTATCGCCATCACCTCCTTGTTCTCCAAAACAATGGAGTCCATTGTAAACTGCCAGCTCATGAGGTACCTTGAGGATCACCAGCTGATTAGTGACCGCCAATACGGTTTTCGCCGTGGTAGGTCAGCTGGTGATCTTCTGGTCTACCTCAAAGCGCTTCTTTCGAAGCTCCCCTTCCTATGGGCTTCCCGAGAAATTGTGCGATTGGATCACCAGTTTTCTTGCAGATCGGAGCATCAAGGTCGTTGTAGACGGTGCAAGCTCCGATTGCAAGCTTATTAATGCTGGTGTTCCACAGGGCTGCGTGCTATCGCCAACGCTGTTTCTTCTGCATATCAATGATTTGTTGCAAACCCGTAGCATTCATTGCTATGCAGATGACAGCACTGGTGATGCTTTTTACACCGGCCGAGCCAATATTTCTCGGGAAAACGTCTCTGAGTGCCGGGACAAACTTGTGTCTGAAGTCGAGTCTCTGCTGGACAGAGTCTCGGATTGGGGGCGACTAAATCTAGTCCAGTTTAACCCCCAGAAGACACAAGTTTGCGCGTTAACCGCTAAAAAGAACCCCTTTGTCGTATCCCCTCAGTTTCAAGGCACTCCCCTTGTTGCCTCAGCCAGTATCGGAATCCTCGACGTCGACATATCGAGTGACGTGCAGTTTCGTGGTCACTTGGAAGGGAAGGCCAAATTGGCCTCTAAAAAAGCTTGGCGTGCTCAGCAGAGCGGGACAGTATTTCATGCCGCCACACCGCCTGCAACTTTACAAGGCGCAGGTTCGGCCGCTCATGGAATACTGTTCCCATCTCTGGGCTGGGGCTCCCCAGTACCAGCTCCTTCCACTTGACCGCATCCAACGCAGAGCGGCTCGAATCGTCGACGACCGAGTGCTTTCCGATCGGCTCGATTCACTGGCGCTGCGAAGAGATGTTGCATCTCTTTGCGTATTTTATCGCATCTATCACGGGGAGTGCTCTGAGGAATTGTTCGGATTAATCCCAGCCGCCAAATTTCGTGAACGCACTACACGGCAAACGTCCCGATACCATCCACACCATCTGGATGCTTGGCGGTCCACCACTGTACGTTTCAAAAGGAGTTTTCTTCCGCGTACAACCTCTCTGTGGAATAATTTACCACCGGTGATTTTTCCGGACCGATACGACCTGGGGACCTTCAAGAAAAGAGCTTACTCCTTTCTAAAGGGCCGGCAACGCACCTGCAATTCCCCTGGTGTTGCGGTTGATCATGGGCGGCGGAGGTCACTTAACATCAGGTGAGCCACATGCTCGTTTGCCCCCTCTTCCATAAAAAAAAAAATAAAAAAAAACAATAACAACTGAATTTACAAAAAATTGAAACAAAACTTTTACTTCCTCGAACATAAACATAATTCTCTTATTTACGAATAAATAAAATACACGCAATAATGTCTCTTTTGTATACAGATATAAGGGTGAATGGTGCAAAATAGTCAAAAGAAATTTTATTAATAGCATGTTTAGGCAATTATGCTCCTTAATTAGTTTCGTTTTAGTTAGCTTATTTGATTGACAAGTTCCCGATCCGATCGGATGGCATGTGCATTAAGTACCTACACAGATTTCCGTTCAAGCATTCGGCCTTCGTCAGAAATACTAGGGCTCGACAACCTACTCTCTGCGAGTCCCTCCCGCCAACTCGTCGAACGAACCCCGCGTTGCTTTCGGTGTCAAAATTTGGAAATACCTGCATAGGAATACGACCCGTATTCCATGTTATCCTACTATGAACAAGGAGCAAAGTCGTATAAATAAAAAAATACTTTGCTCGACAACCTACTCTCTGCGAGTCCCTCCCGCCAACTCGTCGAGCGAACCCCGCGTTGCTTTCGGTGTCAAAATTTGGAAATACTTGCATAGGAATACGACCCGTATTCCATGTTATCCTACTATGAACACGGAGCAAAGTCGTATAAATAAAAAAATACTTTGAAGTTCAAAGTATTTTTTATTCACAAATACGATTGAGTTTCTTATTCCTATTAAAATATGGATCATTTTCCTATTCAAGTATTTTCATGTGTTGTGTTCAAGTTCTTCGAGCATCTGACTTACAACACATGCTTTCATACTTGCAAGTATTTTTTGCCCGTACCAGGGCGCCGTACTTTGAAGCGAAACCTGGTTTTAAAACCTGGTAGCGTAAATACGTCTCATCAGTAGTGAATAGTGAAAGAGTTAGCCTAACGAAAAAGGTCGTAACTGATATTCGCAGTTACATATAGTGAAAGTGTTAGATAGCCGAAAAAGGTCGTAACTGATATTCGCAGTTACATATAGTGAAAGTGGTAACTGATATCCGCAGTTACACAAGTGATAAAATCAGCTAGTTTAGTTGATAATAGCTGCTAGTCAGTACTGTTAGAAAACCAGCTACTACCAATAGATATTTGATACTACCGTACAATTTAAAGAAATCTTTTTGAAATATACAGTGACTAACCAATAGTGAACAACCGTAGTTCAACCGTGGTCAATGGTTATAAAATTTTGCGACTAATTAATCAGTCCAACCGCTGGCCACTACCTTGCTATTTGTATTTATTAATCGTGCATTTTGATTTCAACCTCAGTCCACAATACCACAATAAATAAATGCCACATTGTAGTCTTCAGATGCGTTTGTGTTGAATGAAAAGTCATGGTTTTTTGCATCGTCATTAATTTGGGAATCCTTCTTTTCAATTATTGACTCAGTGGAATTATTTTTACCTATAAGTATTGAAGAATCAGCATCGTCTAAAAGATCTTCAAAGTCAATGTTGGAAAATTTATTTTTCCATCGTTCTACTACCATCAATTACTCAGTGTTATAATCTAATTTTGATTGCTTTATTTTGTTTTCTAATTTTATGTTGTTTATTGCAGCTCCGGCTAACTTCATGTCAGCCTCTATTTGTCGACAGTGAGAGACAAGAACCTTATCCTGCCTCAATGTCATGTACAATAAAGAACGCTTCAATTCTCCAAAATACGTCTCTGACCGGGCTGAAGATGATTTTGAAAATTTTCTGCATGACATTTGTCCAACAGACAAACACATATTATTATAATCTTTTTATTTTGTATTGGCATAATAGTTGTCATAGTAGGTCATAATATAATATTTATATATTATAGTTATATTTTCTAATACATAACCAGTATTTGATATTATTGCATGCCTTAAGCTCAAAGCGCGTGGGTATGTTCTACTAGGGTCTAAAATCAAGAATTCAACGTTTTGTCGCATGAAATCGTATCTAACAAGCATATTGAACATTTAAATGGTATAAAAAGCACATTGTTAGAAAGATTAATTATTGCTGAACTTATATTTTTTAAAATCATTTTATTGCTATTTTTATATTTAAAAAGTGGTTTTAGTGACTCATGGTGTCGATTTATCAAGTCAGCAAGACGGGGTAAGCGGTAACTTTTGAAAATATCAATTTGGACAATTGATAATTTCAAAAGTTACAAAAATTACTTAATCTATTTTCTTATCTCTTCATCTATCTTGTGGGAAGCCATGGAATGTCATTTACAATCCATGGCTTCCCACAAGATAGATGAATTGCTAAATTTTGTTTTGTTGAAAAAGCGGTTTAATTTTGTTTTCTTTAGTTATAATTATTTGATCCCGTATCGTAGAGGCAGTCAATTACTTGTAGGGCATACAAATACTTGTTCCGTGCGGGATTCGAACCCGCGGCCCTCAGCGCTATAGCGCTTATCAGCGCAGTAGCTTAGCAATGAGCTATAGCTCATGCGCCATGTCAATGCCTTCATGTCTGAGTACAAATACTTAAAAATTAAAGTAATATTAATTAAAGTTGATTTCTGATCGTTTTAAAATAATTCTGTTAAGTGTTTTCAAAGCAAAATTAGAAGTAATAGTAATAAGGTTATTTGCGAAATGACAGTTTTTTAAAGTATTTAAAAAAAAGTGTATTTAAAATAATTTAAAAAATTGACGTTATAATATGAGCGCTTAAGGCATGCACATTTGGATTTAACAAAAGTTTTTAATAATTCATTGTTGGCTCAATGCAATAATAACATGTCAAATTTTTCTCTTAAAACATTTTTTAAAATACTTTTTTGCTTAGCACTGCATTACATCCTCGTCACTGTCAATATCTTTATTGGCAGAAAATATTTTATTTATATTTTTACAATACGTAAACATAAAAAATCGACATACAAAATTAATTAAATATTCTATTAATTTATCTTTATGTACAGAGCATGTTAAAAAATTTAAATCTAATAATAAAAGAATAATTGTTTTTATGTATTCTCTGA